GTGCTTGTGTGTACACACAATGAGAGAGAGAGAGAGAGAGAGAGAGAGAGAGAGAGAGAGAGAGAGAGAGAAAATATCACAAAACACTGTTTCTTCTATGAAGCTGTAACTCAGTAACTGCAGTAATAGAGAATACTAATAGGATTTTGGCTTTGTTTTGATGGGGGAGCAGGAGACTCACTTAAGCAAGTTCTAAAACTCAAGGGGTAAGGAGCCTGGGATGCTTAACCCACAGAAACATGAAGACAGACCAGAAGTCAACAGCTCACACAGTGTCACACCAGCATATGACATGGGCCAGTGAAGGCCACAGAGCTATGACACTCTGCCCTGGGGCTTATGTGTGGCACGTCATAGCATAGGATGGATGAGTTTGAGTGTCACACCAGCAGACAGAAAGAAGACAGACAGGGTGAGTGGTGGTGGCACATGCCTTTAATCCCAGCACTCTGGAGGCAGAGGAAGGTGGCTTTCTGTGAGTTCAAGGCCAGCCTGGTCTAGAGAGTGAGTTCCAGGACAGCCAGGGCTACACAGAGAAACAAATAAACAAACAAACAAAAAACAAAACAAAAAGACAGATAGTTCAGCAGGAACATAAGGCTTTGTTGATCTTTGAAGGTGAAATCTTCCTCACAGTCTCCCATGCTTGAACACTTGGTCCCCAGCTGGTGGCACTGTTGGGGAAACCTGTGGACCCTCTAGGACAGGAAGCCTTGTTAGAAGTCTGCAGTGTGGCCTTCAGTCCTGGGCCCACTTTCTCTTCACCCTGGGCAGGTACAAACCAGCTATCTTCTTTTTTTCTGCCACGCTTTCCCTGCCTGCTGCCATTTCTTCCCTGCCAGGATTGACTGTACCCCCAGGAACCATGACACAAAATAAGCCCTTTCTCCCTTAGGTTGCTTTAGTCATGGTATTTTATCACAGCGATGTGGAAAGTAAGACCTAGGCAACAGATCAGAGGTTGTGAGGGAAAATCCGAAACATAAAATAGAAAACATAGGAGAACATTTCAATGATCTTAGAAGAAAGACCTTTCTCAATAAGGGCCAACATTACCACCGTGAAATAAAATTAATAGTTGTCCTGTGATCACAAGACTGTTGAGCAAGTGCAAAAAAAAAAAAGCATCTCAAATCGAAAGGCACACTGGAAAATGTTTGTGTCATATATCCTTCATATATAAAGATTTCCTGTTAAAAATGCAAGAATGTAATAGAATAAAAATGCCAAAACCACATCAACAGCCAGCACACAAAAAGGTCAATGACCCTGAACACAGTGAAGGACAGTCAGCTCCGCTCAGAGATGGTGTGTGCCACTTTGACCCATCGTGCTCCTCTCAGTACAGCCCCCTGCTGCTCTGTCAGTAAGTTCCTCTTGAAGACCTGATCTCAATATGTTACCTCCGGAGGATACATCTCTGCACCAACGCTATTACCAATATTACTGGATGAAAACTGAATACACAAAGCCAACAAACAGTTCTGGTAAATTCTAAGCTTCACAGACTTGATCCCACTCTACTTCTGCAGCAGGACTGCTAGGTGGACACTCTACCCATTTCTCAGGTGGGAACAGTAAAGCTCTTTGCAGGCAACCTCCTTCTATGCCTGCTTTCTTGTACATGTTGTCTTGAGCATCCCCAAGGCAGGGGTGGGCAGTGGCCAGAGCAGTTGGGAGTTAGGGTGGTACTCACTTGTGCATGTAGCCCTCGGGGCCGGCTGTAAGGTTTGCCTGCATGACCGCCTGGAACTCTGTCTCGTTGCAGCAGTATTTGAAGACCGTGTTGTTATGGTGACAGCAAAGGATGAAGGTCTTGTTGTCTGAGAGCCGGGGACAGTGGAAACCGAAGTGGTAGCGGCCTTTGTGGTCTGTGTAAGGCTCACAGACCCGGAAATGTGCGGACAGGACTAGAATATAGAGACACCAAGTTCACCAGGGTCCCTTTGGCAGCCTAAAGGTGCCAGGGAGAAGGACCAGCAGCCTGTTTCAGGGTCCTGTTGGCTCCTCCCTTCCCTAGGAAGTCTTCCTGGTCCAGGAAGGGCCTCACCTCTACCCCAAAGCCTCCTGGACCCCTTGTCCCCAGCTCTGTCAGAACAACAGTGTTCCTACCTCAGGCTGAGTGCACCTTGGGGATCCTCGAAGCTCACCCATTAATGGGTCCCCTCCTGCATCTCAGCCCTTAGTGACCAGGCACCTATTCTGTGTCTCAGGAGTAAAGAGCTTTACTTCATCCACACGACCATCCTAGTAGGCAGGCTTGTTCTGTCATTTTGTAAGTAGAGAAACAGAGGTCTAAAGGACTTGATGGAGCTGGTCAGTGTTGATGGCAAAGGACTTAAACGAAGCTCCTGCAATCTCTCCCTGCCCCTTTCCCACCTCAGCTTGCTCCAGAGTAGGTTGAATGTGATCCAGGCTTTCCTCGGTGTTAGCCTACATAGGGCTGGCTGGAGGACCTAGGGTCCACCTGTATTGAAAGTGCCAACTCCTCAGTGCCTCACATTCTAGAAGTTGTTGCCCCAGACCCGAGCAAGGTCTTATCTGGGTCCCACACATATAGGGCTGTGCTGCACCCCCTGACCCACAGAAGGAGGCCCTATTCAGCCTCCTCTGCTGCAAACCAGGATGAACTGATGGTGATAAACAGGATTGAATGCGAACAAAGCAACAATGGAAAAGCTGGAAAGGCTGTCTCTGGCTTAATTAGTATCTTCATAAAGGGCTCACTGTATCTAATTTGTATCACTGAAAAGGGGCTTCTTGGCGCAGGCATCTCCCAGGCACAAAGGCCCTGGCTTCTTAGAGCTCCCACAAGAAGCGCTGTCGGCTGAGAGGTTATTAGATTGCAGCCCACACAGTGCCACGGCAGGGGACCCCAGCAGGCCAGCTGGCAGGGGTGCGGGCACCCTGAGAGCTGGCGCCTAGGCTGGCTCCAAAGGCCTTTCCCTGAAGGATAGTTCCTCCTTCTGTGGACACAAGTGGGGAGGTATTGGCTCTCCAGGCTCCAGCCCACTCTTGTTCTTGGGATGCAGAGGCCACTTGGCGTGATGTCTCAAGGAGACATACCACCGAGTCCCATCTACTCCCACTATACAGAAGAGAAAAGCAAGACTCAGAACCTTGGCTCACCAAGCATGCTAACCAGAATGGAGGCTTTTTGGTCCCTCTACAGCACAGAGCTCTGTCATAGGGATGTCCATGTGCTTGGGCTGGGAACCACTGCCCCAGAGCAACTGCACACAGAGGGATTAACAGTGAGGGGCAGAGGAGAGCAATCAAATCCCGTGACTCTTGAAGCCCTCTTGTGGCTCTGTGTGACCAGTGTGGGCACCTGAAGGATGCTGGACACATCTAGAGTGCCAGCTGAAAGACCAAGCTTGGCTCTGGGACTGGTCCCTCCCATGAGACACAGCATACAGCAGACGGCCATCAGACCTTTTGCAGAGGTAACAGAACACAGAGGTGAGACAGGCAGGTCCTGTCCAGGACCTGGAGAGCCCCAGCCCCCCCGCCCTTCCCTGCCGGTCTGG